CATCTGCCGCGTATACTTTCTATACTTCTAATCGCCGAGCAATTGTCCTACGGAAGCCGCTTATACTCGAGTGCAAAGAGTAAGACAAAAAATAATGCGAAAGGAGTTTTTTGTCGGCTGTTGGCGAGGGATTGAATTAAGGTGAATTGATTCATTATTCGGGCTTGGGAGTGGGTTATCTCTGGTGGAAATGGCAGGAAATTGGTTCGAGAGGTGGGGTTGGCGGATAATTTAGGAGAGTTTTGATTTTAAAGGAATTTTTTACACTGTTAGAAATTTCTTGAAATTTCAGTTACAATGTCATCTGAATTTTCAATGTCGTGAGTTCGGATTCAATTTCAAATGAAAACGTTCATTAAATTTGTTATTTAGTGAACGTTTTCATCTGAAATTGAATCTTGAAATATTGAAATTGAGTTTTGATTTTAAAGGAATTTTTTACACTGTTAGAAATTTCTTGAAATTTCAGTCACAATGTCATCTGAATTTTCAATGTCGTGAGTTTGGATTCAATTTCAAATGAAAACGTTGACTAAATTTCTTACTCATCTTGAAAATTCACGAAAGTTCGGTTTTTCATGTTAAACAATCATTGATTTTTCGATGAACGCTTGAATTTCCAAACTTATTGTGAAAATTGAACATCATGTACAATTCAATTTTTAATGGATTGAAAGATTGTCACTTGAAATTTCAGTGGAAAATTTTCAAAATACCATTAATTATTTTAAAAATACCAAACTCTCTCACTAATTCACCAGTTCAGCAATTAAAAACTCCCCCACTCCCACCACAAAAAGCAAAAACAAATGAACTTCCAAAAATTTCCAATTCCGAATCCCAAATTTTGCAACTCCAGCGATTCGCTAAACCCCGACATTACCCCGGCACGCGTTGACACGGTAAACAAGGGAGCCCGGGAGTGGGGATTTCAAGAACGGTGTTAAAGTGTAAAATACTAATTAAGAAGGGGCGTTCGTTCAGGGCACACGCGTAAAAATTTCCAACCGCTTCTTTCACCAAAACACCCAGCGACAACTCGCACTCTCCCATTTTGTTTCATCTTTTTTCGTTTTTTTTATTTCATTTCCGCTTTCTTTTCTTCCCAACGCGCCACATGAATGTACTCCTCACGGTTTGACGGGCAAACGAGCGACGACGCACACCGTTGAAATAAAGAAAACGCCCGGGTGTGAGGAGTGCGGCAAAAGTGGCAGTGATTCGCACTCGTTAGGCATCCACATCTTCACTCGCACTCTTGCGCGCGTATTTTTCATTTTCTCTCACTCAAAGTGAAACAACTTAACCACAAGGTTCGGGTTTTATTATCGCGACGTTGCGGGTCGTCAAATTCAATGGGCGTTTGATCTTAATTAAATCCTTCAGCACCTAATTTTCTAATTAACGATGGCTCACGGGGAGGGAAAAGGGGAAAGGGGCGGATGAGTTGCAGAAAATGTTGAGAGTCGACTCCACCCATGTGTGGGACTTTGCGACTCGGAATATATTTTCTCTCGCGGGGCACCCCTTGAGCCAACTGTGGGAAAGTTTATTCCGTTCGTAAGAAAGCCACAAGATTCGGCGACCCCTATTTTCAGGGTCAAGGCGGTTTTATTCGGTCCTTTCATTGTCGACAGGACCCGTGTGTCTCGGAGAACGAACGATGAGAACGTTTTTAAGTAGAAGGGGCTGGGGGTTATTGTCGGCGGTCGGTTGACTTGGAATAACCGTTAAAAGGGAGAGGGGCGGGGGGCAACAGCTCAAGGAACGATGGGAATCTTTGAATGAGTCTGGGGCTTAGGGTAGAGAACGAGTAAGGCGAGAAACCTTTGAACGTGTTTTTTCTTCCTCAACTCCTTTTCTCAAAGGGACCCCTTTGGGTGGATTCTTTACCCGACTCTTGAGGTCAAAATGCTAATAACGGGGACTTTCGTTTTGGAGTCAAAAAATCAGTCTGCAGTTTTTTGGGGGGTTTTGGTCGTTTCTAGAGGCGTTTGCGTATGGAAGTTTTTAGGGGGTTTGGGAAATGAGAAGGAGAGGTTTTTTTTATGAAGAAAAAACGTTTGTGATTTTTTTTTTAATAACGACGAAATTATTGCAGCAGTTTAACATTTTTTGTGATTCATATCGACTCTGAATATTGATTATTATCATTGAAAAGTAAAAAAAATCATAGCGACATTCGTTCAGTTAGTTGGTTAATAATAACCAAAAAAATGTCGACTGATTTCGACATTTATTATTTATTATTATTTAATGGATTTATCATTTTCGGGAGAATGGGAATTTTTTTTAATAAAAAAAAATCGGACTTTTTTTACAAATGACGACGAAATTATTGCAAGTGTTTGAAATTTCCTGAAATCCGTATCGACTTTGAATATTGATTATTATCATTGAAAAGTAAAAAAAAATCATGAATCTTGAGGAAAAAATCAGTCAACGTTTTTTTGGTGATGATTATTTTCTAGACTTGTTTCCTTCTGGAAATTTGTACTGTTTTTCACTGAAGTAATTTAAAATCCTTTTTTGAGAATTTTCTCCACAAACAGATTTTTTTTTCAAATATAAAAAGAAAAATTTAGAAAAAATGTTCGTGATTAAAGTTTGCGATTGTTATTCACTAGACTCTTTTATTTACGTTAATTTTTCTTTGTTTCCCATTAGAATAATAAAAAATGTCGATTTTTATAGAATTTCATAGAAAACCGCAAAATGTTCTTTCAATTCATTCAAAAAACTAAAATTTTCTCAAATTAAATCACTTGTCATTTGAAAAATCCATTTTTAAGGATATCCAAGTCTCCGTGTCTCCGGACACGATATTGAACTGTTAGAAAACATTTTAAAAATCTCAAGAAAATAGAAAGTTCACTCTCGCAGAAAAATCGATGAAATAATTAAAAAATTCCAATTTCCGGAAATCGCGAGCATTTTCTATAAATAATTTACAAACAAAAAATATTTAAAAAATGATAATGCTATGCATGATGTCCTTTGAATAACACTGAAACTTCATAATCATTTTAGAACTTTGTTCCCGCAATTGAATTGACAAATTTGACATTGAAAATAATCAAAATAAATTCTAAAAAATCCTCGCCGATCCCCAAAATTCCGTGGAATCATCATCAATCCAAAAAACAGCTCCCATCAATTCCCTCAAGTCCCCAAATCACCGAAGTCACCGAAATCCCGAATAAATTCAATTCCCCGGTAATTACCGTCGCATTACCCTTTCACGGCTCAAGATAATGAAGAGTCACCAAGAGAAGCCCGCGCAGGCCACTCTCCCCCACCCTCCCCTCATTATTATCCTAATTATACAATAACGACAATGAGCAAGCGGAATTATCACCTCTTCATTAAAAAAAAAACCGTCGTTTCTGCACCCTCGCGCCCTTTCGCAGAATCTGCTCCTCTCGTTTCTTTCCGCTTCCACGTGTCTCTGTATGGAATATTCTCGCTCTCCCACCTACTTTGCCATCGAAGAGTGGCAATTCAAGCACTCCACCGCTGCTCTCTTCCTCGTTTCATAAAAATTCTCTTCGTCAACGCTAACTTGGCCGCGTCTCCGCCCCTCTTAGCAGGCCCATTATGCCGCGGTAAAAAGGAGTATCCAGGGGATTGAGCCATAAGTGAGAATGAATTTTCACACGCATGCAGTGGAAATGCAGTTTGGTGTCATACGTTATCGTTCAGTCTTCTGTCTACGGGTGTCTGTTTTTTAATTAGGCACTTGACAGAGATATTCTCAGTGAGATACGACGCGAGGCTTCAATGCCAGCGAAGGCTGATGGATGGTTGGGTAAGGATTATGGAGGGCAGGTGACGCCCCGTTGAGGGGTTATGACGGTTCGATGGATCCAGGAGACTATCGTACTATACGTTTTTTTCATTGAGATATCTTCACGTTCGATGGATATACTTGGGATTTCTTAATTGGCTCTTTTCTGCCGTTGTTCACCTCATTTTTTTCAACTCTTCGGCTGGTGATGGGCGACGATTGTCTTGTTGAGGGGGTGAATCCAGAAATTGGAGATTTTTTAATGAATTTTCGAGTGGGATTCAGCCGGGAAAAAAATCTTTACTTCCAACTTTCAGGGATCTTCAGGGGAGTTCACTCCGGGAAAAACTTTTTCATTTTTCGAGAAAAAAATGACGAAATTAGTATTTTTGAAGTTTTTTTTCTCGAAAAACGTAAAAGTTCTTTTCCAAGATGAAACTCTACCCTCTATGATTGGAAAATCGTCTCCAATTCATAATTTTTCCACCTTTTTTTATTGAAAAAAAAAAAAATTAAGTTTGAACTTTACTTTAGCCTCAATTGCCCGTAAATGATGGAATAAAAAAATAAAAAAATGTAATGAAATTAAATTACACAATTGCACACAATTTCTCCGCAATTTTAGTTGCAATTCCCAAATTCATCGAATTATCAATTCAGTAGCGAAGTAGTAAAGCGGTTTTAGTCGACTTATCTCTTAGTTGAGTTTTTGAAGAATATCTCCCAATCTAAAGGAGATAACGCAATTTTCGTAACAACCTTTTTTGTAGAGAAAATTGAGTGCTACAAAAAAGGTCTTAATAAAAATTTAGCTATCTCCCGTAAGTTCCGAGATATTCACAAAAAACTGGCCAATAGTCAAAATCGACTTTTCAATTTATTGTTCTTTAACAACTGTCAATCGTAATAAAATGTTTCACTCCCCTAGTTTCCACAGCCCCGTCATCATCCTTGTTTTTTTCACCCCTTTTGCGTCCACGGTATAAGTAAATTACCCAGCAATTAGCGAGTCATGTTCAACTCCACTAATTAATGGATGTAAACATAGCGAGAAGCTCAGAAATGATTTGTTTACTTTTTTTTTCATTCCAAGTGAGATGGGAAAGTCTTCTTATGAATCGAGGGAACTGTTGCGGGGCTGAAAGACGATTGAACAAGTCAACTACTAATTGCCCGGTATTTAATGGATATTCTGTACTTATTTGTGTTGCAGGGAATTCTATTACATTCAAATGGAGAAATACGCGAGACAGGCTGTCTCGGAAGGTGTTAAAAATGCTGAGGATCTGAGGGTGGGCGGTGACTCGGAAATATACCGAGTATTGAACCTCCACTACAATCGTAACAACCACATTGAGGTATGGGGTCCACAGGTGCGCAAATATACGAACACGCACACTATTTTATTTATTGGTTATTTGAATTGCTTCAGTTGCGATTAATTACGCTCAACAATTATTAGTATTTGCGAATTAAATTAAGGCACATTAAATTGATGGATCTATTCATTTGCATTATGATTGAGCCGGAGGAACTTGTACATTGGTAGAAAAAGGGGAAGTTTTGGGGGGAGAAAGTCATGAAATTTGGGATTTTAATGAATATTCAATGGAATTCTAAATTTTTTGACAGCGAGACGATCAGAATTTCAGTCATTTACGTGAATTTTCAGTATAAAATTATGTTGATATTTTAATATATTGATGATTCAATAAATTTACTTGAATTTTTGTATTTTTTGAAATTAATTTTTGGGGAATTATTGAACTGAAATTCACAGGTTTCATGAATTTTTTTATAAAATTTTGAATTTTCAATTACGAAACTCCTTGCAATTTCAGTAGGACTATGAAAGCGAACAAAAATAAAATTTCATGGACGAGTAATTTGAAGGAGACTGTCAATTAATTCGATTTAAGGGGAGAAAATCACGAAATTTCAGATTTTGACGAAAATTCATTAATTTACTTGAAATTTCAATATACTGACAATTCAGGAAAAAGTTTACCTGAACTTTCGTGATTTCTTATTCATTTTCATAGGATCATCGAACCGAAATTTCCAGTTTTCCTTAAATTTCCATAAAATTTTAAGGACAATGACATTTAATTCGATTTTAAGAGGAAGAAATCAATGAAATTCCATAATTGAATCAAAATCCACTGCAATTCTGCATTTTTCAACAGCAAGACGATGCGAATCCCCTTATTCACCTAGAATATTCAGTACCAATTCACCTCAATAAATTAAAAATCCGTGAATACATTTACCTGAATATCCCTAATCCCTATTAATTTTCTTCGAATAATGCTCGAATAAACTTTCTCCCTAAATCCCCCAAAAATTTTCACCAATGTACAAAGCGAGAAAATCTCAGCACCTGAAACTCCCAACGACGGGGTTTCCTCCCCCCGCATAAAATTATGAATTATGATTTAAAAACAACACAAACTAATTTTTTTTTTCCTCCACCGCACCGCAAATACCTAATCAATGGCTTGAAATTACAGGTACCCGGTAACTTCAGGTACGTGGTAGAACAAACGTTAAAGGAATTTTTCAAAGCAATCCAGGGTGGTAAAGACTCGGAACAGTCTTGGAAGAAAGCAATTTACAAGGTGATATCGAGGCTCGATGATCCAGTACCTGAGTACTTCAAGAGCCCCAATTTCCTGGAACAACTCGAGTGAACCAGGCCAGCGCTGCGTTGCTCCGCGTGGTAGCCCGGTGAATTAAAAAGATACCTTAGACCTTACAATTAAATGAGGACAAAAGTCATACCAAAAAGCAATGAAAATTATGAAAATGAAAAAAAACTAATTTAAAAGAGAATGTATTCATCGCGATATGGCGGAGTTTGCTACGGAAAGTGGCCATTCGACGATGGACCTTATCCAGGTATCCCTTTAGTAACATATCGTGAGAGAAGTAGGCGAAAATTGAAGGAAGCATGAGAAAGAATTTTTATGATAAACGCATGAACCCTAAAATGCATCAAAAAATAAAAAGGTCAAAGGAGAATGAGGATCGACGTACATTAATTCGATGAGTGAGGGATTATTTCCAGTATCAATTAATAAATTATTTATCAGGGAATATAATATATTTGAATCAACATGTGCACGAAGTAGATTCCTTCGCGCGCCATTATCCATCATCGAGTAAAATCAAGACAAATAAATTGAGAATGACGTTTAGCAGAGATAACTATGATAGCCACCTCGGTACTTTATTTAACAATTCACTGATTATCATGTAATGTTCCTTACCACGTTCATTAATTAACCAGAGTCAAGTTTTGGTCCAAAGAAATTCTGGAGTTCGAGCCTCGAGATTGCCTCGTTGATACTTTTTTTCAAATTAGAGAGAGAGAGAGAGATAATTGAATGAAAAAAAAAATGAGAAAAATTCAAGGAGTCCATCATTGCTCACTTCTGTACAGAACAAACGACCGATGATTGATCCCTTGAATTCGTTAACTGTGAAAAAAATAATTAACGACCTGAAACTGATCACCCTGTTGCTTAGTTCCACGTCGTTTTGGTGGGGATAAATTAAATTGAATACCTGTGGAAAACAGCAGGGATCGATTGACTAAATAATTGATTCTCATCAAACTGGCTGTGCGTATGAAGACTGGCGATTATTCGGCCAATCAACGATGCATCCTGGGGATTCAATTCGGACTCTAGATATTTAAGATGTGTAAATAGTATTTTTAGAGATTAATGAGTTTTTAATTTTTAAATGAATAATTGACAAACCGAGTGAATGATTGTACCATTAATTTCGAAATTAATGTACATTTTTATTGATGATAATTCAGTCGTTATGAATAACGAATAGCAGTTGGATGGTGTTAGACTAGTCTGAGGGATGAGATTGTGAGAGTTAATAGCGCGAAGGAATAATTAAGGGGACAAATAGGCGTGGGTTATAGTGGGATGACAACAATTATTGAGGGATAGTTATACATTGAACACTCACATGGGCACGAGATACAATGCATTATAAAGTACACAGTAACAAATGTTAAGAGACAAAACGCGGAATTTTCTCTTATTCATTATTTTCGGGGAATTGCCAAGCACTTCCCCCTGATTCTATTATGCGTGGTTTAGTCCTTTATTTTTTTTTGTCACGTTGATGTAACACCCTGTTGATAAATGAACAAACTGCATTATTTAATTAACGAGGAAAAATAATAGAGAAGAGTACGAGAATTATGGGGGATTGTGAAGCTGGGTGGGAGGTATTTAAATCCTCATAATTAAATTATACTTTTTATGAATTATTACATTTGTGTTTTGCATATCCTGTAGTATTATAATTATTTTTTATTATAAATAACGTATTTTTATGGTTATTATAACGTCATGTGGATAAATATTCTGATTAATAATTATGATCAATTAATTATTATGTTCTTATTATTTTCTCTCTCTCTCGCTTTGATTATCGTTTATTAATTGATTTACTTTTAATTGTGAAAATTTAGGCGTTTAAGTTTCTGCAATTGGTTTCCTTTTCCTCTTTATTGATGTGGGGTATACCATTCACCCAATTACACACTATTACTTTCGCTAATTAACGGTGAGTCTTAACCTAGTCACGAATCACTATTTTATTGAATGATTTAACCAATTATTATTTTATTTATTTCACGAATAAAATGAGACAGTAAAATGATCTTTTTTTTCATTTATTTGGGACTTATGACTGACGATTTTTTTTATTACGAACCCTTCCTTATCCTAATCCCACGCCAGTTCGGTAGTATGAACACGAGAAATTTAACAATTTTTGAGGAGTGAAAATGTCACGTCATTTGTTGAATTGATTCAATTTTAATTGTGAAATTCACTCATTTAGGTTCTGCAATTATTGTCTTCTCATGTTTATCAACATGGGGACATGATTCAACATTTAATTGATTGATTTAACCATTTATTACATTATTTACTTCACTATTATTTTATTTACTTCACTATTTATTATTTCACGAATAAAATTCACGAATAAATTTTTTTTTCATTTCTTTGGGACTTGCAATTGACGAATTACTTGTTTCAATTATTTTTGATGAATTGATTCAATTTTAATTGTGAAATTGAGTCATTTAAGTTTCTGCAACTCCTCGTGTTTATCAGTATGAGGTCACGAATCACTAATTACGATTTTATTCATCATTTCCCGAATATTTCATGAAACAGTAAAAATATTTTTTTCATTAATTCCAGACTTACGACCGACAAATGACTTTTTTCAATTATTTTTACTAACGAGCCCTCTCCCCCCTCCTAATCCCGCGCCACTTCAGCATTATGAAGCCGTGAAATTGTCCATTTTCTGAGGAGTAAAAATGTGATATCTCAGCCTGTGCTCGGCGACTATTGTCTCGGCCTATTGAGGTACCTTCATATTGAAGAGTGTCGAGATGAGACTGATTCGACGTACGGAAGATGCTGAACGACCCCGAGATATAAACGAGAAAAAAATTTATCTTTCGGTCTAGTCTTTAAATTATGATAAATAAAAGTGAAGCGTTAAAAATTTGTTGTTAATCTCAACGAAGAAAAAATTTTTCGGTGATATATATTCTTGAAAGAGTTTTGGGGCCTAAGGAACTGGTCGCTGTTGGCTCGTCACTCTGTATAAAAATTAATACAAAAATTTTTGGACAAATTTTTAATACGACCAACGGCCATCACCCTCCCTGCACCGAGACAGTCTCATTCCCACGAAAAATTTATTAAAAATACAAAATAAATAGCGGAGCAAGACTGAGACGTCATGTTCAGCCTCAGCCCGATGTCAATAATATTAATCCCCTGATAAATGTCTAATACTAAGAGTTCCCACCGCCGAATGATAGTCATCTCAACGTCGATGTCCTTTATTTAACTGAACTATCATGTTAAGCACGCAGCGAAGGCATTCGAGTACAATTCCTTGAAAGCACCCTAAAATAGCAATAATCAATCGAATGATTTTCTGCTCCACAAAATAACTGAAATAGTAATGAATAAAGCCCCCCCCCCCTCCCCTCGGGTACATTGCAATATCGACGTCAACGGTTTCTCGATGACTCGTCACTGAACGAAACGATCAACGAAGAATAATCCGTCGTCGATAATTCCCAAAAATAGGATTTAATTAAACCGTAATGCGATCATATCGTCTTCGTGCGGTAAGACTCGACAAATCACTCAACTATGAGGCATTCACTGACAATCGGTGAGTGAAATATTGAGTGATAACAACAATCCCGAACGCGACACGGTGCGCTGCTGAAATTAAACCGAAATGCAAGAAACGTTTTGAGATAAATTAGATGAAAAAGTGATGAACGAGGTGAAAAATTTTGCAACGCCGGACAATTGGAGGTTGAAAATTTTGTCGAGTTATTATTAAAAGTGTAATAACAGTTATTATAGGTAAATATGTAAAAGAGTAGAGTTTTCGGGATGTGTGAAGGGACAATTGTGACGTGAAACAAAAGGCCGCGGTAAATTTTCTTCGAGACTTTGATAATTTAGGTGTGAAAGGGGAGTGAGATGATGATGCCCGCGCGTATCTGTTTCAAAAATGATAATTAATCGAGTGAAAAATATAATCGCCCTACTCGCCCCATATCCGTGCACGTGAAATTGACGCACAGGTGTCCGGATATTTTGATTTTAAAATGAAACAAATGAAGAAAAAAATGCTCGACGAGGAAAAGGCGATTACGGAAGACGAGGATGGCGATTGAGAAAATTTTAATCTATGAGAATAACAAAAAACCCAAAAAAATGAATAAAAAAATTTTAATAAGCATACGTACATACCTAAGCGCATAAATTAAACAAAAAAAAACCCACATAAACCAGAATTAAGTAATAGTATCTAACGTTAAAACTTGCAAGCTATTAATTATTATATTACGATTAATTAATGATAAAAAAAATGGAAAATGATGAGACACTCACATTAAACTAATAAAACTAATTATTACGGTGATTATTATTATTGAATATCGAGATTTGCATCAAGTCATTCGTGATAAAGAGAAATGAAAACAGTGGGAGATGTTTAAATTAATTCCTCGATTACTAGAGAAATGAAAAAGTCGTATTTAGGATGTATTTGAGATGAGGAAATTGTGTGGGATGAGGGGGGCGATAGATCGTCGTTGTTTATTTCTTCATTTATTTTTTTATTGAATGAAAAATTTAATAACGGTGAGTAACGGCGTCAAATGACATTTCAGGGCTTCTTCCTTTTTTTTTCGTAGACTTTAGGGGTCGAACGGGCGACTTGCCAACTTCACGTGAACGAGTGACTGTGTGTGAGAAATTTTGTGTGTGAGTCGAATGAACGACTGACGAAATTTTTATGTAAAATATAAAGCGCATCGATGCGACATTTACAAGAGGAAAATTTAACAAAAAATTTTTTGTACATATGCTCCGTGTGATAATCTCGATACGCGTATTAGTGTCTAATGTAACGAGCCTAATGAACTAATATGCATTATTAATGGAAAAATTGCGCTGGGATTGAGGCGCGGTTGACCTGGGAACGATTGAGCATGAGATTTTTTTCAATCAGTCTGATACGGTTCGAAATTATTCAGCACCTTTCGCCGAATTTCTCACAGTGAAAACAATTTTTTTTGCATTTTTTTAGTGTACAATTTTTGCAAAAACAAATGCAAAAAAAAAATTTCGCGAAAAATCGTTTTTGAAAAAATTGCCGAAAATATTCTGAGAGCCGTCGACCACTCCGGCCCTCGTATGAATATAATTTCCCGTGACACCGCCCAGTCACGTACCAATCAATACCGTCAAACGTTCATTCGATGATTGATCGATCAATTTTCCATCCTCCCATCGCTTGGTTTTAATTTTCTCCGTGAAAAAACCGCCAGTCTGCATATCTGCAGCTGATATAACTCCATTTTTACAGTGCAGTTGAATATTTTTGGTTCGTCAGTAAATGGTACACGGCGAGGCTGTCGATACTCCAGCTCTCCGATACTAATTCACCCAAGATAGCAATAGACTAAAATCAAAAATGACGATCAATCATCGCCGGAAAAATTCATAAACAGCCGCGCAAAAAAATTAGGAACCCCCGGAATATCGTGACTGAAGATCTCAATCGAATGCTCAATCGATCCTCGATAAATTCAGGAAAATAGTGGGGGTATTTGCGATATAACTGTGTTGAGGGAAATCATTTTTTTGTCATGGAACTGTGAATGGTGCGGAATACGAATAGGGAGCCAAGTGTCCTTGATGCGACCGTCGTTGAAGCCAAATATCTCGCGATCTCAAAATCATTTGGACGTAATTCAGTGGAATTTAAGTTCCGTAGTCGCCTACGAGGCAGAAGTTGAACTTCACAAGGGTCTGTAGGGTGTCAAGAGGAGATAAAGAGGCTCAGTGAGCCGGACGGCACCGCGCACCCGGTCTGCGCACCGGCCCCGCCCCGTCCGTCACCGAAAAACGTTGCGCATCCCCACCCCGGAGAAGTTCACCTTCAAAAATTGCACTGAATAGATCGACGAATCAAGTGAAGAGGAATTTGACTGAGTTCGGAGCAGCGGGCGAGAGACGTTCGGCGCAAACCGATCCTAGGGAAGCTGAAAACCTTCGGGAGAAGAAAAAGCGCGGCGAGTGATTGACGAATGAACGATTACGTGAAAGTGTGAAATTTTACAAAAAAAAAAAGTGGAAGATGATGATAAAAATTATACAGAGAGAGCCGATCTCCTTGCCTACCGGGAGATCCGCATATATTGTAAAAAAAAATTTTTAATAAATTAGTTGTGAGATGCAGAGAGTGAGAGAAACGGGTTTAACAAAATTTATAGGCCAGTTAATTTTAAGAAGAGGAAAATACTAATAAATTTAATTACCCCATTTTTTCGTATATCCACTGTGTACTTTCGGCAATTCTTCCGCATTGTTGCTGCACACACAGCAGTAGCAATGATACAAGACAATGTGTGAGTCTGAGTAAGCCACTGTTGAGTGAGATTAAGAGAGTGAGAGATAATTAGAGAGAAAATTAAAATGAGAGATGAGAAGAGTTAAATTATTGATATCAAGCTCCGTCGTCCGACTCAGTAGCGCGTCAAATCATCAGTCAATTGATAATTGGATTAATGAATATTGGATAATAATTTGTTGAGTGATGCTGCTTTATCAACAGGATGACAACCCCCACCATGATAACAACATACTCCTTGCAGTTTATCATATACATTTCCGTGAATGGTTACGTCAATCGTTTTATCAATCCGAACGCACGTCTATCTAAATCCAATTAAAAATTCAAGACAAATAACTTATCATTTTTCACTCATTAAGTGCTCCTAACTTTTCACTTCATATTTTGCATTCATTCCGCCATTCAAAGGATTGTTTCACTTGATAACAATGAAGGTTTAAATTTTTTCACACTTTTCAATATTTTTTTCAATTTTTATCGAACGGATTTAGAGACGTAGATGCATAAATTTGGATTAGCACACTCGACTCAACCGCAAAATAATAGAAAAAGAAGAAAATAGATAAATGTCACCCCTCAAAAAGCAGTCATGTATGCTTAATCGTACATAATGTATAGTATATTAAGAGTTAAGAGTTACGATGATAAAAAG